ATCTGATTATGATCGGATTACTGAGTGCATGTAAACTCACTCAGTGCTCCAGACTCAAACTGCACTTCAGTCGCTCATTACGCTGGACTGGCTTTTGATCGACTCGTTATTCGACTTGGGTTAAACTCTGACTGACTCGCAACTCAACCCGAACATTCGATTCTAAAACAATAGAATTCTCTACCAAACTGTACCAAATGTTTCAGTAGTGGCTGTTTCAGTGACAATTTTAGCTCATTTTGAGCTCAAAAATGCAGTAAACACAGCTTTGAACAGCTGTTCACACAGAAAATCATCATATTTTACATTAAAACACTAAAACTCTACTTACCTGCAAAAAAAAGTGACAATTTCTTATCTTTCACACTGATTTTCAGACTGTGGGACACATTTACTACCAAACAATGGGACCTAACTGCTCACCATGTGGCCATGAGGGACAGGGATGCAGCCTCACTTCCTGCTTTAAAATGCAGGGGCGGGGCTACAATAAGACTCCGCCCACAGACTAAAACTCTGTGTTTTGGTAGTGATATGAAAGTGCAGGACTTCATTTTCTGAATAAAGTTTATTTACTTAAAAATTAAACTCCTGATAATTTTACATGTTTCAACTTCAAAACACAACCTTGTATCTCCAAAACGGCAACTTTACATGAGAAGGAAAAAACATACTTTACTTTTAATGTAAGTCAATGGAACCAGATGTTTTTCCAAGTAACTTTGGGCCGCTTGTTTTGGTCCATTCAACATGAAATTTACATACAATGTAAAGGGTAAGATCTACTTTCGAATTATGTCAAAAAAAGAAAAACGACAAAAAAAGACTAATATTAGTAATTAATATTATCAGTTAATAACTTAGGTTTAAATAGATCACAACATAAAAGTACATCCCTGTATTTGTAAATAGTTATTTTTTAGCGCAGTCTGAACTAATTCTGTGCTATAGACCACAAACAGCTCAAACAAACTTCTGAAAAGCCAGCTGATCCCACCTGATCCACGTTTCTCACCTGCATTGTAGGAACGGTCCAGTTTCTCCCACAGTGGCTCGTCCTCGTGGTGCAGGATGGACAGCTTGAGGGGTTCATAAATGGAGCCTGACCACAGAGAACACACAGAGTTCAGCACCGCACTGACTTACAGACCCTCAGCAACTCAGAGGGCGCTTGAGTTCATTTACGGATTCAGCTTCGCGCTCAGAGGCTGCAGCGATGCTGAAGTGCACACTTCAAAGCCGAGCGTTTACTCTGAGGGTCCTACTTCAGCCCATAAGCCAACACCTGCGCTAATTTAGCATGCTGCTGACGCTAACACTGTTCATCAAACAGGGGGCCACTTATGATTCAGCTACTGCCGCATCACTTGATTTTCCACCATATTAGTTCAAGCGGCAAAAACTCTTGACTTACCAACGCAGTGCACCAGGAAACAGGAAAAATGGCAACATCAAAGGGCCAATAGCATAAAAAAATGATTTTTTTCCAAAAAAATAAGAGTTTATATATGGGTCTTTGACATGATGTGTATTTTTTGTGTCGAATTTAATTATTTCCACAAATATCAATTTGGGTAAGTATAAGAATATATATCAAATATTCAAAAACACCTCTTTTATGTGAACTAATTTTCAGTACATCCATATAAAATTATTTTGCTTTTTCCCTCCAAACATCTAAAATGTCAGATAAAAAAAGATAATTTAATTATATACAATTCTAAAATAAAATAGTTTCATATGATTTTATGTTTGAAAACTTTAAAATCAAAGGCAGGCTGCAAAATTAGGCAAATTTAAAAGTGCTCAACTCACTGCAAAACTTGTGCCCTCAAGTTCTCAAATGTCAGGCAGCACAACCGAAAACAAAGGACTTTTATTTTGACATGCTTTAACAAGAGAGGGGCCAGGGTATTGCATCATAAAGAAGACCCCAAGTGACCTTCATGGTGCAATGCCAAAGTCAGCAGTCCTTTCACAAATTTAGTAACAAATGCCATTTTTGAGTCGTGGTTAAGCGGTTCAGTTTACCATGTCAGGTGTTCTGACGTCAGGAGAACCAGGAAAATGTGGAATTATTATAATAATGTTTATTTATTTGATAAAATGTAAGTATAAACTCAAATCCAAGGACAAAAGGGTGTCTAAGTAGATGAATGTTTAAGTTGAAATTAGTCTGAAAAGTCAGGTGGCGCAACCAGACCAGCACAGTTTAATAACTGAAATAGATCATTAAAAGCTTTAATAACACTCACTGTACTTAAGATATAAAAGGAAACGTAGATATAAATGCAAATATGTGCATTTATGAAAATGCACATCATGTTCTTTGTAATTCAAAATTGTCATTTTGGAAACATTATTTGTCGATCGCTGCTGTCGGAACAAAACCTTGCATCTCCAAAATGGTAACTTTACAGGAGAAAAAAAAATACTTTACTTTTAATGTAAGTCAATGGAACCAGACTTTTTGTCCAAGTAATTTTGGGCCGTTTCTTTT